TGGTAATCCAAATACTTCCATTAACCAGGGATGAAAGCCAGCCAAATTTTTTACTGTATAACAATACAGTTTTCTTAGTATTTATCTCACTTCAAGTTTGTTGAGCCTCTTGAATATGTGAATTTCTTTTTCACCCTATTTGGAAATATTCAGCCATTTTTCCCCTAAAATATTGTTTCTGCTCATTTTTTGTCTCTTTCATTGCCTTCTGGGATTCTAATTAAAGTTTATTTTAGACACCTGAGCCCAGCAAATCGAGGTTGCAGTGGCCATGAGCATGCCATTGCACACCAGCTACAGATCTAATCTTTTAAAATATGCCTCTTGTAAATGCTTATGATCTTTTAAGAAGGTTTTTTTTTTAAAAATCAACATATTTTGTTCTATATAATTCTTGAATAACTCCTCAGTAAACTTCATTTCTACTTACACAATCATATCTTCCAATAAGTTATGTGTTCTATATTTTCTCAAAGTATACTCTCTGTCACGTTTTGTATGTAGGCTATACAATAGTAGCAATGTGCACAAGTGTTGTTCTACCCCAAAGCTGTAGCTTACCACATAAAGAGTGACAGTCTATCATTCGCCTTTAAAAGTAAGCATTGTAAGAATATATTAGTCATATTGACTAATATATTGACTAATATATTCTTACAATGCTTACTTTTAAAGGCGAATATTCTGATTAATTTATGACATGGGACTAATAAAGACTTAGAATGACACATGAATATGCTAATATAAACATGAACTTATTTTTGTTTCTTATTCAAATTATCTAAGAATTCTATTGTACTGACAGTGGTTATTGTTTATGAAATCCAGTGACAGGCAACAAAGAAAATAAATTCAGTAAATGAGAATCCTGAATACACTACCAACTTTTCTGCTGTATGAAGATTCTTGGAAAAGCAGGAAGCATCATTACAAAAGGTTCTTCTGATAATTCTACTGCCATTCTTATATCTGTCAATGATTTAAAAAGAGCAATCGATGACTAATCGGATAGCAGAAGCCCCTTAATATATTTCTTATTTCTCTAGTACAAGTGGTTGACAACTGAGGTCTTAAACACATGATTTTACTAATTCTCAGGATTTCTAGAAATACTTCTAAGAAGGTAATATGTATTATTTATTTATCTATTTACTTATGTTTGAGTTGGAGTCTCACTCTGTCACCCAGGCTGGAACACAGTGGAATGCTCATGGCCACTGCAGCCTTGACCTGCTGAGTTCAGGTGATCCTTCCACCTCAGCCTTCCAATTAGCTGGAACTACAGGTGTTCACCACTATACCCGGTTAATTTTTTTATTTATTGTAAAGATGAGGTCTCAGCAAGTTGCCCAGGCTGATCTCAAACCCCTGGGCTCAGGCAATCCTCTTGCCTCTGCCTCCCAAAAAGCTGAGATTACAGGAATGAGCCATCGTGTACAGCGTGAGCCACCGTGCCCGGCATGAAAGTAACCTTTAAATTATATCCTTAAAATTAAAAGCAAGGTGCATCAAGAGCAAAGCAAAATCAAATTCAATACGTTTTTGCCATTCATTAAGAATACAGGTATCAGAAAGATTAAAATTTGCTTTGTTCTGTCATGGACACAACTACTGTGCTTAGTTATTCTAACTTAGTCATTTCAAGACAAGACAGATACTCTTAAGCATAACATGGACACATATGTAATTAGCAAATCTAATATTTTATGATGTTGCATTGTTTAATTTTGTCAGCAGTCTAAAACGAAAATTGTCTAACTTGATTATCTACTTTGTAGATTTTCTCAATTGATCTTGTGTCATCTTCTCACCTGCTTTTAGTTAGATTCCTACCTTTTGTCTGTCATACTTTTGGCTCTGCTTGTTCAAGAAGACCTAACAGAGTTCATCTGGCTTAGGGATTGTACTCAGTAGATACACTCTGAATATCTGTTGATTAATTTATCCAAAAGAAAGACTTGAACTAGATTGCTAATTCCTGTAGCATACGGAACACCTGCACAGCACAGTGTCCCAGCACATAGCTGAGTGTGGGGGACAAATTAAGAACTCGGAAATTATTATATGAATGCATAAATGAAGTATAAACTCATTTTAATAAGAAAGACCATAAGATAAATCCACTTTTGCTTTTTCTTCACATAGTTCTTGTTTTGTGACAATAATTACATAGCCTGAGGGCCCCGTATTGACAATGCCTTATTTTAATTTAGAGAGAATAACTTAGCAGGTATATAGACCTCATTTGCTACATCCATTTACCTTTGTCATCTGGGGGAATATAATTGTTCTCTGGGTTACAATATTTTGAATAGGATGAAACTAGAAGAATTTTTGATTTGTTATTCTTGGGGAATTATAAGGCTAATGAGTAAGAATAACTCTGTGCCCCATTTCAGGTGATCTGTATGCTATACTCTGTCTCCCAGGTTGGCGTACAGTGACACGCTCAAGGACACTATAGCCTGAATCTGATGGGCTGAGGTGATCCTTCCACCTCAGCCTTCCAAGTTGCTGAAACTACAGGCGTGCACCACCACACCCATTAATTATATGGGTACTCTTTGAGCTATCTTTGTAACTTCTCTGTAAATTAAAAAGTATTTTGAAATAAAGTGTTTATTACAAATTATAATTAGAACTCTGTTAAAAACTTTTTGAAATCAAATTGTGCGTTATGCAAATGACTCATGTGGAACTATTTTCAAGACTTTCTAGTGCTACTGAGTCTAATGGTTTGTTCATACTTTAATCCGAGCAACCATGGGGAAGGGATTCTCTCCTCTCAGCAACAGAAGTAGTAGTATTTTCTTCCAATGATTACTTCTGTGTTGTGTCTGGATAATGCCCTGGCTCATTTTGCCTCATGTTAATTTTAGCTGCACACTTTTTTTTTTTTTTTTTTTTTGAGTCGGTGTCTCACTCCATCTCCCAGGCTGGAGTGTAGTGGCATACTCAGTCATACCAGCGTCGACCTGTTGGGCCCAGGCATCCTTCTACCTCAGCCTTCTAAGTAGCCAGAACTACAAGCTCATGCAACCGCCTGGTTAATTTTCTTTCTTTTTTTTTTTTTTAACTGTAGAGTCGAGGTCTGGCCAAGTTGCCCAGGCTAGTCTCGAACCCCTGGCCTCAGGCAATCCTCTTGTCTTGGCTACCCAAAGTGCTGGGATTACAGGCTTGAGCCACCGTGCCTTTCCTAGGTTCACATTTAAAGAGGGAAATTTCCAATTACACAATTTATCTTTTACTATTTGATATCTAAAATTGTAATAAATACTTCAGGCTTGGACCACATTTTTTTGGATAAATATCATGTTCTCTTTTGTTAACATCACACAATGATCCTCATCATTTCTGAGGAATTTCCATACCAATTTCTCTCTCTCTCTTTTTTTTTTTTAGTTATGTTCATTTTCCTGTGTATATGTTATGGGACAGAACACTATTTGTGCTTTTGTTCACTAACAATAAATAAACATTGGGAAATAAGTACATTGGGCTCACTACTATTCTGACAAAATAAGAAGACCTAGTAAAGATGCTGCAATCTAAATTGCAGAAATGTTATTAAGATTAAACTAAGCCAGGCGTAGTGGCTCACACCTGTAATCTCAGCATTTTGGGAAGCAGAGGCGAGAGAATTACCTGAGCCCACAGGGTTCAAAACCAGCCTGGGCAACTTGGTGAGACCGCGGCTCTACAGTAAATCCAAAAAATTAGCCTTGCGTGGTGGTGTATGCCTGTAGTTCCAGCTACTTGGAAGACTGAAGCGGAAGGAACACCTGAGCCCAGGAGGTCAAGGCTGCTGTGGCCGTGAGCGTGTCACTGCCCTCCAGTCTGGGCGACAGAGACTTTGACTCAAAAAAAGCGAAATAAAAAACTAAAATAAGATTAAACTAAAAACATCTACACAGCAGCAGTCTAATGTCCTGATTAATGAGAGGTAGGCACACTGATGTTTAAAGTAATCCACAGACGTAAAATATAAACAACCATTACAAGTTAAATGACAATTACAGCTTAACTGATGAATGGTGAAGTAGGAGGTCTCCAGGAGCAGCAAAATAATCAAGACAGAGAGGAACAGTTTTCATATTAGTCTTTCATAATAACCACTCTCCTAAAGTGAAAGTGGAAGAAACTGTCACATTGAAGTGTGAAAAGAACTCTAGAAACTAGTAGTTTTGGTGGTTAAGAAAGAATTCTACGCCTGGCAGTGTAGTGCAGAGCCATTTAGTATGGCTGTGAGCATTTTTTACTGCCTGGGAGCATGGGGAGAGCTGCTCTCTGCTGGTCCTGTTCACTTTGTAATTTTCACAAAGGCGCGCTTCAAATGACGCATAAAAACTCTTACAGTCTCAAGTCCAAGAAGCTACTGTCACATACAGTTGAAGACAAGTTTCTTTCCCCCACTGCACAGGAGAGTCTTCTTACAGATCTCAGATTTCAATAAAATTGTGTGGCACAAGTTTTAAATTCATGATCTCCTGGAGCTTTGGCAGGAGACTACTCAGCTCGTCAACGAACGAACAGCTTTTGTGTTTTTCTCCAGTTGCGTGTCCACGTCTTCCACGCGTTTGGTTTTATAGCCTGATGGAATTTTCACGCTGAGTGAAGACCCCGGCACCTTGTGGTCGCCTCACTTAGCAACAAAATTGCTCCGAGGCAGCTGAGCCTCCAGTTCCACTCCAAATGGCACCCACTCTGCGCCCCGCCGTCCCTTGTCGCACTGCTTCTCGGGGTTAATATAGCGTTTTATTCTGCTATACACCCACAGGCAAACTACTTTCCTCCGCCTCCGGGGGTGGGGGAGCATAGGAGGCTCGGAGCCGCAACTGCGCCTGCGCAGTCCCGGCGGGCGCGCACCGCAAGACGCATGCGCTCGTGCCCGGCGCCTGCGGGGGCGGGGCGGGTGGCGTCGCGGTCGGTGGTGACGTCTCAGGGCCGCGCCGCGCGCTCCTTTGCCGCTTTCGCGAAAGGGATCCTGGCGTGTGGCTGTCATGGTTCGCTGCGGTTGCGCGTCCTTCAGAAAGGTCCGTGCCTGGTGTCCTCCGCTCCAGTTGAGGCTCCCTCGCCCCGCCCTGCCCAGCGTTTCTCTCTGGAGGCCTCTCTCCTCGGTCTCACCTAGTCCTCTCCGCCCGCCGCGGAGTCCGGCCTTGCCCGTAGGGGTGGGAAGGGCGCGTCTACCCAGCGTGGTCGGGACGGTTTAGGGGATTTGTGTGCACGCAGGATGAGGAGCTGAGGTACCTGCCTGCCGTGGCTCAAATATTGTAGTGGTGTTTACTTCATTTAAGTAATATCCGTAGTCTGTTCTTACACATTTTTTTTTCTCGAGGATACTCTTAGCATCTTTAACGATTTTTTATAGGAAACAAAAATGTGTAATTGACCTGCCGCCTTGCAGAAATTGTGGTTTTTGTGCAGTGTCGGTGTGAGAAGCGTCTCCGTAAAAATTTACAGCTGTTTAAATTTTGTAAAAACGCTTATAGGGTCCTTACTAATGTTTTTTGCATCTTGCCAGCATCATGCTTTGGCCATATTTTTACTTAAGACCAGAGTGAAAAATTCCTTCTAAGTGAGGCTCCTAAACTTCTGAATTTGACGAATCTACAGTAATAAAAAAGTGTGACGTGTTGAACAGAACTTTAAAGACCCTCTTCAAGAGTATATCAGAATGGTCAGTGTTTCAACTTTAAAACATTCCCAAGTGTTTTTGATAACAGTTGCCATGTGTCAGAACTAGAGATGTGAGATCATGAATTTAAGAAATTGCCCTGTAAAGTATTTTTATTTTTTGTTTTTATTCCAGTAGCTTTAGGGGTTACAAATAATTTTTTCTTACATGGTTGTACTGTATAGTGGCGAAGAAGTCTGGGCTCTAAGTATACTCTCCACTTCCACCTGTACACATTGTACCCTATGGGTGACTTTTTCATCCTTCCACCTCTTCTCTCTCCCCGTTGTGAGTCTCCCATGCCCATTATACCATATCATCCTCTATACCTTTGCAGATCCTTAGCTCCCACATGCGGTGTTTGGTTTTCTGTACCTGAATTAGTTCACTTAGGGTAATGTTCTCAAATGCCATCCAAGTTGCTGCAAACGGTGTTCTTTCTTTTGATGGCTGAGTAGTATTCCATAGTGTATATATACCACATTTTCATTATCCACTGATAATGATGGGTATTTAGGTTGATTCCACATCTTTGCAATTATGAATTCTGCTGCGATGAACATGCCAGTGCATGTGTCTTTTTTGTATAATGACTTGTGTTCCTTTGGGCATATTGTAAGGTATTTTGATAGTCTCTGGGAGGTTAACACACAGGTTCTTTCCCAGAAATAAGTTCTTGATTAAGTGAAGAAAATATAGGTAAATACTAAATGCTGTATAAGATTTTAAAATATATAATAATAAAGATATAATTAGATTGCTGAGAGAGCTAGCAAAGTCAGTGTAAAAATTGATTGGAAATATCAAGACATTAGAAAATGTGACTCTCAGGTGAGTTTATTATAATAGAAAAATATGACATTCTATGTAAAGGACAAGTGCATAGTTGCATGTAGCCATGGCAGTGCATCATGTAGTATAGAGCAAAGAGGAAGTGGAGATAGGAAGGGGTGAACAAATGGAAATGATATTGAAAGGAGGTAGGCATGGCGGCTTGTGCCTGTAGTTCCAGCTACTCCGGAGGTTAAGGCCAGGAGTTTGAGACCAGCCTGTAACATAGTGTGGGAGAACCCTTCTCTAATAAAAATTAGAAGGGCATGGTGGTGCATAACTATACCCTCTACTCAGGAGGCCATGGTGGGAGGATCACTTGAGCCCAGGAATTCAAGGCTACAGTGAGCTATGATGGCACCAGTGCACTCCAGTCTTTTTGACTAAGGCCCTGTTTCAATTAAAAACAAAAAAAGATATTGGAAGGATAAGTTAAAGGCTTTGAATATACAGATAACCTTTGAATAGTGAGAGGGTTAGAGGTGCTGACCCAACTCCTCACCCAACCCGAAACATTGAAAATCTACATTTAACTTTTGACTCCTCAGAAACTTAAACAAACTGCTAGTTGTTTGCCTACTGTTAAACAGAAACCTTACCAATAAGATAAACAGTTGATTAAACACGTTTTCTTTTTTGAGACAGAGTCTCATTCTGTCACATGAACTAGAATGCAGTGGGGCTATCTTAGCTCACTGCAGCCTTGACCTCCTGGACTCAAGTGATCCTCCTACCTCAGCCTTCCAAGAAGCTAGGACTACAAGTGTGCACCACCACCATGACCAGCTAATTTTTTTATTTTTTGTAGAGACAAGGTCTCATGATGTTGCCCATGCTGACTTCCACCTCTTGGTCTCAAGCCATCCTCCTGCCTCAGCCTCCCAAAGTGCTGGGATTATAGGCATGAGTCTCAGTGCCCTACCCTAAACACGTCTTTTGTATGTTATATGTGTTATATACTGTATTCTTTCAATAAACTAGAAAAAAGAAAATGTTACTCAGCAAATCATAAGGAGGGGAAAATATGTTACTATTCATTAAATGGAAGTGGATTATCATAAAGGTCTTCATCTTCCTAGCCCTAACCTCGAGTAGGCTGAGGAAGAGAATGGCTTGGTCTTCCTGTCTCGGGGGTGGCAGAAGAGTTGGAAAAGGAGGCAGGCAAAGTCTGGGTAACTTTTTATGAAAGTACATCATAATTTCTGTCTAATGGTTTTGCTTTTTCATTTTGCTAAAAATGTTTCTATGAGAGGGAGATCCCCCAAAACTGGAATTTATTTATAAAAAGTTGTATCTTTATTCTTGTTTAAACTTAAGTCACCTTCAAAATACTCTGTTTGTTGCAGTACATCTATGGAGACACCTGTTCCACGGCTCAAAACAGTTTTTGAACTTGTCAATTTTGATGCCTTTTAGTGCTTCTGCTGCTTTTGTTTCCCCTTTGAGGACTTTTTTCATCTGGGGAAACAAAAAAATTGCTCAGGGTGAGATCAAGTGATTAGGGATGGTGGGTGCTGGAGACCAGCTCCAGCCGGGTTCAAGGTACCCAAAGGTGGAGACGGCGTTGGCGATTGGGGGGGAAGAGGAAAGAGAGAGAGCGAGAAAGAAAGAGCCTGGACTCCAGTCTAGTGCAGAAGATAATGTGTTATTGGGAATTACAACGGGTCTTTTATACACAAAGTCAGATGTGGGAGGCGTCCCCCACCCACCAGAAACCTTAAGCCATGAAAACTTAATCAATGATTGCCTGTAAACCCTTTTCACACATCTTCATCATCTGGCACTAGTTCAGAAGCACTCATCTTCAAATAATCTTCTGTTAATTCCTCTGATGTGGTGTCTGTTAGTTCTTGAATTTCTCCAAGATCGATGTCTTGAAAAATCTCACGCCTGCCCCACCCACCTTTTTTGTCATATCACCAAACTCTTTTGTGATTTCCTGGGTTGGCTCTGTTGTAAATCCTGTGAAGTTATGCACAACAACTGAACAGTTTTTTGCATCAGGTATTTGGTGTTTGGGGTTTGATGGTTTTCATGGGTTTTTCTATAACAGTGACATCTTTGATGGTGTAATCCTTCCAGACTTTCGTGATGTTCTGTCAGTTTTCTTCCATAGTGTTGGCAGTCCTTTCTGTAGAGTACTGTGTGTATTGCACCTCAGAGGTCTGTAAAATCCTCTGATCTAGAGGCTAATTTAGGGAGATTGTATTTGGGGACAAGTAGATCATTTATGCCTTTGGTGTTGAACTTATAGGGTTGTGGGTGACCAGGGGCATTGTCCAATAGCAGAAGAACTTTACAAGGCAGTCCCTTATTGTCCAGGTACTTCCTGACTTCAGGGACAAAGCATCAATGGAACCAATCCAGAAAAATGACTTTATTTCTTGTCTAGGCCTTCTTGTTTTACAACCAAAAGACTGGCAGTTGGTATTTATCTTTTCCTTTCAAGGCTCAGGCGGTTAGCAGCTCTATAGTTAAGGGAAGTCCTGATCATAAACTCAACTGCATTTTCACAGAACACTAGATTTAGCCTATCCCTTCAAGCCTTAAATCCTGGTACTCACTTCTCTTCCTTACTAATAAATGTCTTTTGTGGAATTTAATACATTTTTTGTCTGCATTAAAAACCTCTTCAGGAAAATATTTTTCTCCTCTATGATTTTCTTTTTTTTTTTGAGTTGGAATCTCACTCTGTTGCCCAGGCTGGAGTGCAGTGGCATGCTCATGGCCACCCCAGCGACGACCCACTGGACTCCAGCAATCCTGCTTCAGCCTTCCAAGTAGCTAGAACTAGAGGTGCACGCTACTACATCTGGCTAATTTTTGGTTTATTGTAGAGACGAGGTTCCACCAACTTGACAGGGCTGGTCACGAACTTGCAAACTCAAGCAATCCACTCTCCCAAAGTGCTGAGATTACAGGGTGAGCCACTGAGCCCATCTACAATTTTCTTAATAAATTTTGAGAACTCATCTTCTGTCTCTTGGCAGGTGGAAGCTGCTTCTCCTGTTATCTTTACTCTTTTTTTCTCTTTCTTCTTTTCCTTCTTTTTCTTCCTTGCTATTAATAGCTCACTGCAACTTCAAATTCCTGGCCTTAAGTGATCCTATCTTTGCTTCCCAAAGTGCTGGGATTACAGGTGTGAGCCATCATGTTTAGCTGATCTTGATGTTTTTTAAGCCAAACCTCTTTCTAAAATTATTAAACCATCCTTTGCTGGCATTAAATTCTCCAGTGCTAAATTCTCCTTTACCTTCCTTTTGCTTAAGTTGTCATATAATGACTGCTTTTTCAGAAGCCATACTAGCGTTTATAGATTTGCTTTTTTTAAAAAAAAAATAATAGCAATCCTGCACCCACATAAAAGCTGCATTTTCAATATAAGATAAAGACGTATTTCACAAAAAGTGCAAGATTTTCATGCCTGCTGGCATAACTACAGCAACGGCTTTGTGAATTTCTGTTCCTTTCTTTCTTTTGTTTAAATGTTCCTTGTGCTGGATTCATTTATCTTGAAATATCGGGCAACTGTAACTGCAGAAACTAATCTATGATGTATATCAAGCAATTCAACTTCTTGTAATATCATAGCTTTGCTCTTGGGAACACCTCCAGCATCACTAGTGGAATTTTGTGTGGGTTCCATGTTGTTGTTCAAGATTTGCTGTATAGCGCTAATCACGAAAAAATGTAAGAGCACTGCAAGAGATCACTTTTTATTGCAGTATGAAATTTGCTGGAGGAACTAACTGCTTATGTGGAGATCAACATAGCAGGCATTTTAAGTGGATGTTTACAACACTTGAGCTCACCACAGTAGCAACAGGAGGTGGCTGCAAAATTATTACAGTTAGACAGTATGTTCTGCAGTTAATTTTATGCAGTTATGATCCAATACTGCATCTTAACATCTGTTTACATTTCTTTTGACTATGAATGGCACCATATATGGTCTGTGTTTGTGTGCCTGCTTTGATAAATTTTAACTTTTTATAATAGATGTTTGTATAGTTTATGGAAGTACATGATATCAGATCTATTTCAGAAAAATATCTCAGACAAGTTGGAGGATGCATTCATGAAGACATGACTATTCACTGAAAGACCATTTAGAAGCTAAAGTTTTGGTCAGGATACTAGGACAGTGGCACTGGAAAGAAGAGATAGCAGTGCCTTCGGAAAAGAAGCAGATCTATTGTGCAGTCTCAATGTATAGATAAACCATGGTTCCATTGTTTGGGAGAACACTGGAAGAACAGATTTTGTCTAGGGAGAAGTTTGGTTTTGTTATGTCAGTATTTGTTTTATAGGTGACTTGTTTATTCAGCTGTTATCTAAGAACAAGTTACAAATTATAGGAGTTTCAAATATGAATTAAATACAGATTCTTCTCTCAGATGTTTTAAACTACTAAAATCTTAAATCCTGGTGGAGATGTCCAATAGATTCAACACAGAAAATTACTCACCTAGCTAAGCTATTGGTACAAGCAGAGATCACCCAGAGGAGATAATCTAAAATGAAAAGAAAACCAAGGTCAGAGCCCCTAAGGATAGATAAATGGGACAGTAATTGATAAAATTAAAACAGGGATCTAAGAGCTGGGTGTGGTGGTCATGCCTATAATCCCAGCACTTTGGGAGGCAGAGGTGAGAGAACTGTCTGAGCCCAGGGGTTTGAAGCTAACCTGGGCAACTTGGCGAGACTGTCTCTACAATAAATCAAAAAATTAACTGGGCATGGTTCCAGCTACTTGGAAGGCTGAGGTGGAAGTATCACCTGAGCCCAGCAGGTTGAGTGTGCCACTGCACCCCAAAATAGGCAACAGAATGAGACTACAACTCAAAAAAAAAAAAAAGAATTAAGAGAGATAATAAAATAGGAAAGGGAGGTCACTCTGAAGGTTAGCTAAGAAAATGTTATAGAATTGGCATACAGAAAGCCATTATTGATTTTTTTTTTTCCCCTAAAGAAATTTTAGCAGAACAAAACTAGAATGACTTCTGAGTTGATAACACCTTTGGTATACAAATGTTCTCTCTCTCTCTCTCAAGTATGGAAATTTCATCGACAATCTAAGACTCTTCACCAGAGGAGGAAGTGGTGGAATGGGTTATCCTCGATTAGGTGGAGAAGGTGGGAAAGGTGGCGACGTCTGGGTTGTAGCCCATAAAAAAATGACGTTAAAACAACTTAAAGACAAATATCCTCAGAAACGGTTTGTGGCTGGAGTAGGAGCAAACAGTCGGTAAGTACTTACTGAATAACTTAAATTCTACAAAATCAAACCCTCCTGGAAAAAAAAAAACAAAAGCCTAATTGGTAATTTAAAGTAAATTGTTTCCTGTATCTGTAACCGAGCAAAAATCTAAAATGTCAGAACTCATTAAAGATTGATTTTAAAGAACACTTTAGAGTTTTTAGACTTTTTCTTCTTCCAGTATCTATCTGTGTTCTTTTTGTACTTCTTCTGTAGAAACAGAAAATGATCTAAATTCCCACTGTTCCAGTGTTATCTTTGATAACCTTTAGGCAAACTTATTAATCTCAACCATGATACTCCACCCCACCACCATTAAGTCAGTCACCCATAATTCTTCTACCCAGAGATAACCACTATTAACTTTTTCTTTGTTTAAAAAACTTTGTTACTCAGTAGATTTTTTTTAAAAAAAATTTTCTATGTATTTACACAAATATAATTATATGGATAACGTTTTGGGATACAAAAATGAGAGCACAATATTTTATAACCACCTACTTTTACCTAATCTTTTTTCATGTCAAAATTATTCATTAGAGCTGCATAATATTGTAGTATTAGACATGATCATTCGCCAGGCTTGGTGGCACAGCCTGTAACCCCAGCACTTTGGGAGGCCAAGGCGAGTGGATTGCCTGAGCCCGTGGGTTTGAGACCAGTCTGGGCAACTTGGTGAGACCTCATCTCTACGATAAATCAAAACTTAGCTGGGTGTGGTAGCGTGCACCTGTAGTTCCAGTTACTGGGGCTGAGGTGGAAGGATTGCCAGAGCCCAGCAGGTTGAGGCTGCAGTGGCTGAGAGGTGTGCCACTGCCCTCCAGCCTCGGTGACAGAGTGAGACTCCACCTCAAATAAATAAGTGATCATTTATTTTGTCATTTGTCTATTTAGGTTATTATTGAATTTTTTTTTTTTTTTTTTTGCTATTATAGCCACAGTGCAACATTCTTGTGTAGATAATATTTAACATGGCTGTTCAGTTTTTTTTTTTTAGTAAATTCCCAGAGGTAGAATTACTGAGTTTGAAGTTTGCACTAACTTATTCTTTTTTTTTCCTTTCTCCATTTTTATAATACAGAACACATGTAGTATTTTGCACAGCTGTGGAGTTGGTTTTGTTTTTCCATTTGTACCATTTCATGGTCAAACCAACTTATTCTTTCATGAGCAGTTTGAGAGTAGCCAAACTTGCCTCTTATAATTTAAGTACTCATTTGAGATTAATTTTTTTTAAAGTTTGTTATTCAGTGGATTAAAAAAAATTTTTTTTCTATATTATTTGTATCGTAGCAGTCATCTCTTCATTTCAAGTGTGTAATCTTTTAGTTAATGGATAGTTAGCTTGGTAACTTAAATTTTAAAAAAAATACTGTGTTTTGGCCAGGCACAGTGACTCATGCCTGTAATCCCAGCACTTTGGAAGGCAGAGGTGAGAGGATTGTCTGAACCCAGGGGTTTGAGACCAGCCTGGGCAAGACCTTGTCTCTACAGTAAATCAAGAAAAATTAGCCGAATGTGGTGGTACATGCCTATAGTTCCAGCTATTTGGAAGACTGAGGCACAAGGATCACATGAACCCAGCACGTCGAGGCTGCGGTACCTGGACGACAGAGTGAGACTCTGATTCAAAATAATAATAATAATAATCATGTGTTTGGCCATTTAACATTAGCCAATAGAATTGATTGCTACTTCTCTTTATAAATCATATTTTCTTGAAGTATAAACTTTAATTTAGGAGTTTTCCTTATTTTAATTTAGCTTTTTTTTTGTAGGGTTAGTGCACTGAAAGGCTCCAAAGGAAAAGACTGTGAAATTCCTGTACCTGTAGGAATTTCAATAACTGATGAAAATGGCAAAATTATAGGTGAGTATACTGTAGCTTCTAAAGTAATTAAAATGTGCACATTGACCAGTTTTGGTGGCTCAGCCAGTAATCCCAGCACTTTGGGAGGCCAAGGCAGGTGGATTGCCTGAGCCCATGGGTTCAAGACCAGCCTGGGTAACTTGGCGAGACCTCGCCTCTACAGTGAAAATAAAAAATTAGTCAGACGTAGTAGCATGCACCTGTAGTTCTGGCTACTTGGAAGTCTTAGGTGAAGGATCGCCAGAGCCCAGCAGGTTGATGCTGGGGTAGCCGTGAGCTTGCCACTGCACTCCAGCCTGGGTGACAGAGTGAGACTCCAACTAAAAAAAAAAGTACACATTTTCTAATATTGTTTGGAGGTTTGGGGGAATAACTTCTCTTGAATTTCAGAATAATTTTTTTTTCTTTTTAGTCAGAGTCCCACTCTGTCATCCAGGCTAGAGTACAGTGGCATGCTCACGGCCATGCAGCCTCAACCAGCTGGGCAGGTGATCCTTCCGCCTCAGCCTTCCAAGTAGCTGGAACCATAGGCATGCACCATGATGCCTGGCTAATTTTTTTATTTGTTGTAGAGATAAGGTCTCACTAAGTTGCCTAGGCTGCTCTCGAACTCCTGAGTTCAGGTAGTCATCTCATCTCCACCTCCCAAAGTGCTGGGATTACAGGCATGAGCCACCACTCCCAGCCGAATAATTTTTTTAACTTTAATAATGTCAGCTGCTAACTTACAGAAGAGCATTTTAAACTTATATAAAAGTTGTTCAAAATTGACTGTTAGATTTAAGATTATTTTGAAGATATAAGAGTGATTTCTTGGTTTTAAAACATGTAACTTAATATCTTTTCAACTGCTTACAAAATTGTTTTTCTAGGGTCAGACTTTAAATAGAAATTTAATCCTATTGTTTCGCTCTATAGATTTGTAAAATGGAACTTTCTGGCGTGTACTTCTGAAAGAATAATAACATATTAGTGATTTCACTTTTTTTTTTTTTTTTTTGAGTCGGAGTCTCACTTTGTCGCCCAGATTGGAGTGCAGTGGCCGCTCCCGGCCACCACAGCCTCGACCTGCTGGGCTCCGGCAATCCTTCCGCCTCAGCCTTCCGAGTAGCCGGAATTACAGGCGCTACCATGCCCGGCTAATTTTTTGATTTATTGTAGAGATGAGGTCTCGCCTGCCCTGGCGGGTCTCGAACCCGCAGGCTCAGGCAGTCCACTCACCTCAGCCTCCCAAAGGCGCGGGATTACAGGCTGAGCCACCGAGTCCGGCTGATTTCACTTATTAATCTTTGCTATATTTCTTTTCCTCTTTTTAAGGAGAGCTCAATAAAGAGGAAGATAAAATTTTGGTAGCTGAAGGAGGTCTTGGTGGTAAATTACTTACAAATTTCTTACCATTGAAAGGCCAGAAACGAATAATTCACCTTGATCTCAAACTTATAGCTGATGTCAGCCTAGTAGGGTAAGTATTATTCATATTTTTATTATTTTACTCTCAGAAAGATAGTTTAAGAATAAGAAATAAGTGAAAATAGTACTTTGGGGCCAGAATTATTTCTAGCTTATGGAATTTGTGGATTGTGTATGCACTTTGGCGAGACCTCATCTCTACAATAAATCAAAAAATGAGCCGGGCATGGTAGCGCACGCCTGTAGTTCCAGCTACTTGGAAGGCTGAGGCGGAAGGATCATCAGAGCCCAGCAGATCGAGGCTGTGGTGGCCGGGAGCGGCCACTGCACTCCAATCTGGGCGACAGAGTGAGACTCCAACTCAAAAAAAAAAAAGAAAAAAAGAGAATATACTGCTAAATACTATTATTTTCAAATTGTCAACATAGAGTTTCATAGTTACTATTCCTTTGTACAGGAAGACTAGAGCAATTGAATAGGTCAGTGGGAATGTTAGAGAATGAATAAAGAAAAACCAAATGTAATATGAGAAGAAGCTTAAATAATGTTACCAGATAGTAAGGAATAAAATTAGAAATCCAAACAATGTTATTTACAGAAATGGTTAAATACTCTTACAGATCTTAATGGAGGCATTAAGGTATTATTAATCCAAAGGCTAAAGACTTGTACAGACTATCACAGTATTTAAAGTTATGCGCTGTTGGATAGCAAACTGAATCTTATGCTATATTTTTGAATTGCGTTTTACTATTGAATTGTACTGTTTCTGTATCCTTCAAGCCTCTGCTAGGATCTGTCTATTCTCAGTACTGGAGACCTCATAGGACTGTCTTCTCCCACCAGCCTTCATTCTTTCATTAAACAGTGCTGCTTATCTGTGAGATTTGCAGTGCTGCTGCCCACTGGAGGGGGATAGATAGCAAGATTCAAAGCAGATAAGGGAAGGGAAAGCTTCAATTTGCATTTTCCTCTCCTGTCCCTCCCTTCCCTGGCCCTTCCACAGTGTTAGCAGTTGTGCAGGTGGAAGGCTTAAGGAAAGACCAAGACAACTGCCTTACATTACACAGTTGTGCAAAAGGAAAGCTTAAGGGAAGGACAGGGACAACTACTTTATTACACAGTGTGTACGTAGAAGGCTTATGGAAGGACAGGGACAACTTTACACAGTTGAGCAGATGGAAGGCTTATGGAAAGGCAAGGACACCTGCCTTATATTACACAGTTGTGCAGATGGAAGATAAAAGGAAGGACAGACAACTGCCTTATTACACTGTTGTGCAGATGGAAGGCTTATGGAAAGGCAGGGACTACTGCCTTATTGCTACTGTGTTGTAAATCTCTAACTCTGTTCCTTGCTCTCTCAGAGCTTCTAAGTCCTTTTCATTTTCCTCTCCAGCCTTGTTACCTCTTTACTAGACTCTTAAGTCTGAATTCCTCACTTCTTACCCTGCCTGACAGCCACTGGGTCTCACCAACATTGATTTATGTTCTGCTATAAGTGCAGAGCACAGTCCTTGCATTTATGAATGCTCAGAGAATGACAGAGTGAGACCCTGACTCCAAAAAAAAAAAAAAAATAAAGAGGAAAAGAGCTTCATAGAGCTTGTACATTTCTGTAGAATTACAAATTAGTTATTTGCAAAATATTACACCAGTATTCCAAATGAAAGTTTGGCAGATTTTTTTGAAAGAAGAGCATTCTCAAAAAAAATTTTTTTGAGTTAGGGCCTCACGCTGTTGCCCAAGTTGGAGTGCAGTGACCTGATCCCCATTTACTGCAGCCTCGACCTCCTGGGCTTAGGTAATCTTTCCACCTCAGACTCCCAAATAGCCAGGACTACGGGCGTGCACTGCCACACCTGGCTACAAAGCTGTACACAAATTTTTTGCAGTGTTATTTATAATAACAAAAAAGTTGGAAACAACCTTAATTCTATCAATAGGAAGTTAGTTAAGTAAATTACACTTCACCATTGAAAGGTTTTCACATTTGAAAGTGTTCATCTGTTCCAACTGGAAAGTAGTCTTGCCAAAAAAAATCAAACCTGAACGTGAATGACATTTTATTACTACTGCCAATTTTTTATAGAAAATCCAGAGCAAAAGAGCATGCTAAATGATACCCTGTAGATGCCAGGGGAAAAAAATCAAGACTGTGGAAAAGAAACACTATAGGCCTGATGACCCAGTTTCTTTACAAATGAAATTGCTAATGCGGAACAAGAAACTGAAAAGAGATTTAAGAGACAAATCAGCCATTGTAATGCCTAGACCATTATTTGGGTCCTTATTAAAATAATTCACATTTTTAAAAAGTGTATTGCCAGTATAATAGTGTTTGTTGGAGCTAGGTGATAGCTAAATGAAATTTAGCTAGGTGATAGCTAAATGAAATGAAATTTATTACTCCTCTCTATTTTTTGTATATGTTTGAAAATGGTCATAATATTTTTTTTAAAAAAACAATTCACAAAACAGTATAAGTAATATCTTATCAGTGTTTGGCTAGAGATAATAGGTTGTAGTTATTTTTGGTTTGTTTTATTAGTTTTTTTTTTTTTTTTTTATGATTTCCGTGTGTGTGTGTGTGTGTGTGTGTGTGTATTTTACCATAATTAGAATAACAATTATTTTACCTCCTTAATCTTGAAGCATCTTCATTGTCCTGCTTGAATTTATCTTTGCCTTTTTCATAAATATATTTCACTCACAAGTTTTTCAAGATTACTTGAATTTATTTATATTCTACTTTTTAACCCCAGAAATATTCAAGAAGTCTACTTAAATCCTTAGGAATTCAGAGATAAGCAAGTATTAATAATAATATTGTTGAAATGTGTAATTTTATTTTCTCATTTCAGGTTCCCAAATGCTGGAAAATCCTCTTTACTAAGTCGTATTTCTCATGCAAAACCTGCAGTTGCAGATTATGCATGTAAGTATAATTTGATTGTGTATTTTAGTGGGTGGAGGTAAACTTTAAAGAGGACTATTTCTCTGAGTATGAATATACAACTCTGAGGATAGCCTTAATTTTAAAACTTTTGGCAGATAAAATACATGCATTTTCCGTCCATCTTTGAAACTTCTATTCCCTTCAGTAGTTTCCTTTTTTTTTTTTTTTGAGTATGAATCTTACTCTGCCATCCATGCTCACAGCCACTGCAGCCTCAACCTGCTAGGCTCAGGTGACCCTTTCCCCTTAACCTTCTATGTAGCTGGAACCACAGGCACCATGCTCAGCTAATTTTTTTGATTTATTGTAGAGACGAGGTCTCACCAAGTTGCCTGGGCTGGTCTCAAACCCCTGGATTCAGGCAGTCCTCTCACCTCTGCCTCCCAAAGTGCTGGGATTACAGGCATGAGCCACCGTTCCTGGCTCAGTATAGGTTCTTATATGTGTTAGACACTTTATTACATTTATTTCTCTGTTGCATAATCATTTACTTGGTTTAGTTAGGATTTTATGAGCTATCTACCCTGTATCAAACACTGTGATAAATACTAGGAAGGCTGAGATGAATTCAGCAAATATTTATTTCTAGAAACTCCATAGAGTTCTGGGGTTACAAAGACTGGTAAGCAGAAATAGCTCCTGTTTTGACTTCTTTTGAACTTACAGACTAATGGGGGAAGGCATATATCTATCACTAATAAACATAAGAGAATATGTATAAAGGGGTTCTATGACTTGGACTGAGATATGAAGAATAAGTATGGATTAATTAGTGAAAGGGAGTGGAGGTTAAGGATCTTTAAATCAGAGGAAATAGCATATACACCAAGGCCTAGTGGTGGCAGAGAGTAGATTTGTGTGTCCAGAGAGCATAAAAGAGGAATTGAGATGAGACTGAAGATTTAGGTCGGAACTATATCACGTAGACCATGTGGGCTGTATTTGATCTTTATATCTTAAGAGCAATTTGAAACCTTTAATCAGTGTATAAAATGACTAGATTTGTTCTTCAAAGAGATCGCTCTGACATAATATAGAAAATGGATTGGTGTGGGACATAAAATGATCAGTGGAACTTTTAAGACTCAGTAATTAGATTAGGCCTATGCAGATTTTAAAAATCTGTATTTGTCCTTTTGCAAGTACATTTTAAATAACAAAGATAATTATAGTTTCCATTTTAGCAAATTAGAACAAAATCTGAATTAAACTGTCCTCAGAAAAGAAATGTTGCTTATTCTATGTATAATGCCAAGACAGTTTTAAGAGTACCAGCCTTTATTCTAACCTTAATTTATTATTGTTTTTTCTTTTTTCTTTTTTTTTTTTTTTGAGTTGGAGTCTCACTCTGTCACCCAGACTGGAGTGCAATGGCTGCTCCCGCAGCCTCGACCTGCTGGGCTCCGGCGATCCTTCCGCCTCAGCCTTCCAAGTAGCCTGAATTACAGGCATGCGCTACCACGCCCAGCTGATTTTTTGATTTATTGTAAAGATGAGGTCTCGCTGCCCAGGCAGGTCTCAAACCCACGGGCTCAGGCAATCCATTCACCTCAGCCTCCCAAAGGCGTGGGATTACAGGCTGAGCCACCAAGCCTGGCTTATTATTGTTTTTTCTTTTAGTTACAACACTAAAGCCTGAACTTGGAAAGATCATGTACAAAGATTTCAAACAGGTGGGTATTTTTAAAGCAAAACATGATTAGAAGTGAAAGTATTTGGTTTTGGTACTTGAACTTCATAATATTTGTCTGTTTCTGTGGTGTTAGGAGGAAAAGAGTAACAAAGTTTTTTTTTTATGATAAGTTAAATTGTGGTCAGATTAATTCTGCTGTGCACTATAATAGCAAAATATTGTATAAAAATTAGGTCCAGTTTGTTGCTACAACACTGTGATGTCTTTATATCCTTAATCTCTATTCCTTCTCATTGCAAGTTTTTCTTTTGCCAGCATTTTGGATTATTGATCTTCAGTTTCTAAAAACACTTTCTAAAGTTCATGGAAATGATTTTATTCTAACTTTCTTTTTAAAAAGGTTTTAATGAGAATTTGGTCTTATCTAACTATTAAATTTTTTTTCCTTGATAAGGAAGAACTGTAGATCTTCTGTAAAACTGAAATGAAGGAAAGTAACAACACATTAAAATATGTCATATACAGTCTGGCAGTTGTGATTCTTAGCATTTACCTAAATGAGTTGAAAACTATGTTCACACAAAAACCTGTACATGGATGCTTTTAGCAGCTTTATTCATAATTACCAAAACTTGGAAACAACAAAACTCTCCTTCAGTAGACAAATGGATAAATAAACTGTGGTCCATTAGGCAGCAGACCCTTGTTTGGCTCTAAAAAGAACTGGCCTATCAAGCCAGGAAAAGACATGGAGGAACCCTCAATGAAAGAAGCCATTCTGAAAAGGCTACATACTGTAAGATTCCAATTACATGACATTCTGGAAAAGGCAAACCTTTGGAGATGGCAAAAAGGTTAGTGATTGTCAGGGTTAGGGCAGAAGAAGGGAAGAATAAGCAGAACAAAGAGAATGTTGAGGGCATGCTGTAAAGTACTGTATAGTATACTATTCTGAATGATGCTGTAATGGTAGATGCATTATACATTTGTTGAAACCTATGGAAGCACAATACCAAGAATGAACCTTAATGTAAAGTATGGACTTTGGTTGATAACGATGTGTCATGGTAGGTTCATATAATTCTGTGACATAATTCAAAAAACAAAAACTTCATATTTACTTACAATGATATAGTAAAACATTTAAAACTTCAATTATAATATAGAACATGAAATAGTAAAATTATAAATACAGTATAAAATGAATATACAGAACAATATTTAGAGGGAAAGACAATGTTGTTTATACCTAACTTCTAAGGGAAATCGGTAGAGAACCCCCATGGGAGATTTCAGGTCATGAGACTTCTGTTGTGCATACTACTTGTCATAGCCATAACTTCCTTTAAGACTCTGAATTCTTTATTCACACTGGGCAGTAGGTGTAGAGCAGTTTCTCATCCTTTATTACATTTCAGAATTATCTGGATGGCTTAAGAACAGCAATGATGCTTGGGCCCCAGAGATTTAAAACCAAATCCCTTGGAGGTAGGCCCTGAGTTCTCTGGGTGATTGTGATGCACAGTGGACTTTGAAAAGCACAAGTGTTGAATGATAGTTAATAATTCTTACCCCCTCCAAAAGGAGTATAGGAACACTTTGTCCTTTTACTTTATAAGGATGGTCGATAATCCTGCTGGTATAATACAAACAGAAAAGCAACAGTGGTGCCAAAGAAACAATTACAAATTGAACCTAAAACTACAGAGCTATATTTAGTAAATGCTGCTGAATTAATATCTTTGTAAACTTTTATGAATTCAGATTGTAAATGTTGAAATTCTAGCCAGGTGCAGTGGCTCACACCTATAATCCCAGCATGTGGGGAGGCCGAGGCAAGAGGATTACTTGAGCCCAGGAATTCGAGACCAGCCTGGGCAATGTGGCGAGATCTCATCTCTACAAGAAATTTTTAAAAAACTAGCTGGGTGTGGTAGCGCATGCCTGTAGACCCAGCTACTCAGGAGGCTGAGGCGGAAGTGTCACCTGAGGCCAGCAGGTTGAGACTGCAATAGCTGTGAGTGTGACTGCACTCTAGCCTAGGTTCCAGTGGCACTTCGAGTCAAAAAAAAAAAATTTGAAATTCTTTGAAAAGTTAATACTAAACAATACCATTTAAGGAATTATAAATTTATGTGATTAATAAATGTTAAATTCTTCCCTAAGATTCCTACATTGTTTAGATTAATAAGTAAAAATGGGACTTTTATATCAGGTAACAAAAATATTTTAATTCTTGAAAATACCATATTTTAATTTTGCTGTAAAGATATCTTGGCTTTTCAAAAATGTGATAACCATAAAGGAACTGTTTTTATTTGAAATATGAAAATTTTGGATGTAATTGAACTTGTGGTTTTCATATATTTTCTTTTTCACCAAACCATTTAATTTTGATATTAGATATCAGTAGCTGATCTTCCAGGTTTAATAGAAGGAGCACATATGAACAAAGGAATGGGCCACAAATTCCTCAAGCATATAGAAAGAACTAGACAACTACTTTTTGTTGTAAGTCATATGCATACCAATGTGATATTCAAATGAATGTAAAAACTAGTGAATTTTACTTTTTAAATAAATTTTTTATAAATAAGATTTAAAGTAGTAGTGTATGTTACTCCATTAGGTCTGTATAGGGATAGACATGGCATTGTTTACTGTATCAGATGTAAGTCTTGCCATATTTGTCAAAATTTAATTTAAGATTTCTAACATATTACTTTATTGTATAGTATCTCTTTCATACTTCATTGATGGTGCTAGAGTTATATATGAGAATGTTTAAATTGGTATAAATTGTCTTATCTGTACTAGTTTTTCATTTTATTAATGACTCATTTTATGAGAATATTTTGTTATTTTGATACTGCAATTTCTACTTCTTATTTTGAATTACTAAGTTACAAGTGGAGTACAGATTGAGAAGTTATTTTAGCTTGTAAGAGTAAAATGTTTTAAAACATAGACGTGTATGGCTATTCTTAATGTTAAAGGCTGACTCCTTCCCTCTCTTCTTTTTAGGTTGATATTTCTGGATTTCAGCTTTCTTCTCAAACTCGATACAGAACTGCTTTTGAAACAATAATACTGCTTACAAAAGTAGGTGTCCTGTTTTATTGCATTCTGCATCTGGTCTAATATATGGGCATGTAGTTCTCTATGAAATACCATAATTAAAATAAATGTATACTCCACCTTTTTAAAGCTTTATATCAATTAAATAATTAAACTTGCTGTCTCCAGTTTCTCAGTATTCATCTACTTCTTAAACTATTGCAGTGTAAAAACCACTCTGAGGCTTCAAATCCCCATTATGTACTCATCAGACTTCATCTTGCTTCAGCTTTGACACATCTGATTCTTCTGGAAACATTCTTATTCTTCATGACCCATAATCCGATTTTCTTTCTTAGTCTATTTCTCAGTCTGCTTTTTAGGCTCTTTTCTTTAAGTAACATTATCCAGAGTTCTGTCCTAACCCATTGTGAAATCTTGTCCACTTCTGTTACTTTAGTTACAGTTACTGTACTGAAGACTGTATCTGATATCCAGGTCTTTTGGTTGTGCTTTAGACCAGATGTCTGCTGGACATTCCATTAGGCACTCAAACATAATATGTATAAAGCTGAACTTTCTCTTTTTTAAAAAAACTCCTCAGCCACCCTTAGAACTTTACTAAATATGTAAACCAGGACCTGCATGGTGTTCTTGATTCTTTCATTTCACCATCTACATCAAGCCCTGCCAGTTTTATTTCCTAGTTCTCTCTAAAACCCATCCACTTGTCTTCTTCCACACAGTTATAATCATCAACCCCTCTCACTTGAGTATTAAATTAGGCCCTTTCTGATCTCCCTGCTTCTAGTCTTGCTTCTCTTCGGTCCAATTTTTTAATATGGCAACTAGAGTGATCTTTGTAAAAAAAACCAAGCTGATATTTGTTCCCTACTTAAAATACTTTGGTCTCCCACTGCTGTTAGGTTAAAGTCTAACCTGAATATGGTTTATGAAGTCTGGAAGTCGGGGCTCCTGCCTAGCAGACCCTCTCCCTAACCTTCCTTCACTGCTACATTTCAACCAAATGATTTCTCTCTAGTACAACATGATGTTGCTTACTTCTAGGACTTTACAGATCCTATTTCATTTGCCACTTTTTGTCTATAATGACCAATGACACTGTGAACATATATGTACAGGTTTTTGTGTAGGTATCTATTTTCATTTCTCTTGGAGATATAAATATATACACACACACTTAGATGTGGAATTGCTGGATCATATGGCAACTCTTTGTTTAACATTTAGAGGAATTGTCAAACTTACAAATTGGCAGCACCATTGCGCCATTTTGCAATTCTACCAGCAATGTATGAGGGTTCCAGTTTTTCCACATGAATGCCAACACTTGTTATGGTCTGTCATTTTTATTTTAGTCATCCTAGTAGGAATGCAGTGGTTCTTATTTGCATTTTTTTCACAATTAATGATGCTAAGTAACTTTTCACGTACTTATTAGCTATTTGTATATCTGGAGAAATGTCTATTCAAATTCTTTGTCCCCTTTTTTTTGAGTGGTCTCACTGTTACTGAATGGTGTGCTGTGGCATGATCACGACTCACCGCAATCTTGACCTGGGCTCAGGCATTCCTCCTGCCTCAGTCTTCCAAGTAGTTGATACTCACAGGCACATACCACCATGCCCAACTTTTTGTAGAGACAAGGTTTTGGCTACGTTGCCTAGACTGTTCTGAACTCCTGGGCTTAAGCAGTTTTCCTGCCTCTGCCTCCCAAATTGCTTGGATTACAGGCGTGAGCCACTGCACCCAGCCTCTGTGTCCATTTTTTAACTTAGGTAACTTTTTCTTTAATTATAAGTTTAATATGAAATACATGATTTGGAATATTTTCTTTGCTTCTGTGAGTTGTCTTTTACTTTCTGTATATATTTTGTGTATCCTTTGAAGCACAAAACTTGTTTGTTTGTTTATTGTCCCAGTTTTATTATTAAAGTATAACTGATAAAAATTGTATAATTTAAATTGTACAAGTGATGTATTCATATATATACACACACACATATTGTAAAATGATTACATTAAACTAATTAATATATCACTGTCTCATGTATTGTTTTTTGAGATCAGAACATTTGAGACCTACTCTCATTGCAATTTTCATGTATATAATACATTATTATTAACTATAGCCACCGTGTTATACAGTAGCTCTCCAGAACTTATTCATTCTAACCAAAACTTTGCTCCCTGTGGCCAACACCCCCATCCTCCCTACCAGTCCGTTGGCAACCACCACTCTGCTCTCTACTTCTGTGAGTTCAACTATTTTATTTTATTATTTCTTATTTATTTATTTTTTGAATCAGAGTATCAAATTGTCACCCAGGCTGGAGTGCAGTGGCACACTGCTTATGACCACCGCAACCTTGACCTACTGGGCTCAGGTGATCTTTTCACCTCAGTCTTCCAGGTAGCTGGAATTATAGGCATGCATTACCATGCCCAGCTAATTTTTTGATTTATTGTAGAGATGAGGTCTCACTGTGTTGCTCAGTCTGGTCTCAAACCCATGGGCTCAGGCAGTCCTCTTGGCTCCACCTCCCAAGGTGCTGGGATTACAGGTGTGAACCACTGTGCCCAGCCAAGTTCAGCTATTTTAGATTCTACATATAAGTGAGATAACGGAATATTTGTCTTTCTTTGCGGGGCTTATTTCACTTAGCATAATGTTCTCCAGGCTCATCTGCGTTGTCATAAATGACAGGATTTTCTGTTTTAAAAGCTTTAATAGAATTCCATTGCGTGCGTATATGTGTATATTACTTTTTTTTAATCCATTCATCCATCAAATAAACACTTGACTAGTCTATATCTTGGTTATTGTGAATAATGCTTCAGTGAAAATGAAAGTGCAATTATCTTTTTGACATACTGATATCATTTCCTTTGGATATAAACCCCAGAAGTAGGATTGCTGGATCTTATGATAATTCTATTTTTAATTGTTCTAGGAATCTTCATACTGTTTTCTTTAATGGCTGTACTAATTTTTATTCCCACCAACAGTATTCGAATTTCTTTTTCTTCATATTCTCAACAACACTTGTTATCTTTTGTATTTTGATAATAACTATCCTACCAGATATGAGGTGCTATATTAGTGATACTGAGCATTTTTTTCATTTATCTGTTGGTCATTTGTATATATTTTTTTTTATTTGTGTGTGTGTGTGTGTGTGAGAGAGAGAGAGAGAGAGAGAAGGTTCTACTCTGTTGCCTAGGCTGGAGTGTACTGCAGCCTGGACCTCCTGGACTAAAGCCCTCCTCCTGCCTCATTCTCCTGAGTAGTTGGGACTATAGGCATGTGCCACCATGCCCGGCTAATTTTTTATTTTTTATTTTGTAGAGGCAGGATCTTGTTATGTTGCCCAGTCTGGTCTTGAACTCCTTGGACAAACAATCTTTCTACCTCGGACTTCCAAAGTGTTAGGATTACAGGTGTGAGCCACCATGCCCAGCCTGTGTGTCTTCTTTTGAAAAATGTCTATTCTGATCCTTTGGCCAATTTTTAAAATCAGTTCCATACTACCCAAAGTGATCTGCAGATTTAGCACAATTCCTATCAGAATTTCAGTGGCATTTTTCACTGAACTGAAAGGTCAGGCTTCGTGAAATAGAAAAAACAATTAAATTTTATGGAAACAAAAAGCTTCTGAATAGCCAAACAATCTTGAGCAAAAAGAACAAAGCTGGAAACTTCATACTACCTGATTTCAAGATCTACTCCAAAGCTATAGGAATCAAGGCAGCATGGTACTGATTTAAAAGCAGGCATATAGACCAATGCGACAGAATAGAGAGCCCCAAAATAATTCTATGTATTTATGGTCAACTGATCTTTGACAAAAGTTGCCAAGAACACAGACTAGGGAATGGTAAATCATGTTGGGAAAACTAGATATCCACATGGAAAAGAATGAAATTTGATCCTTATTCCATCTCATATATAGAAGTCAACTCAAAACAGATTAAAGCCTTAAAAATAAGACTTAAAACTGTAAAATTACTAGTAAGAAACATAACGTAAACTATTCTTGACAGTGGTCCAGGTGATAAGTTTTTGGATATGATGTGTAAAGCATAGGCAACAAAAACAAAAGCAAAAACAGAAAAATGAGATTGCAGTAAACTAACAAGCTTCTGCACAGTGAAGGGAACACTCAACAGGATGAAGAGACAGCCTATGACATAGGAGGAAAAAATATTTATAAATCTGATAAGGAATTAATATTCAAAATATATAAGAAATCCAAACAGCAAGAAAACAACCCAAAAGTTTTAATTTTGATGAAGTTCCATTTATCTTTTATTTTTGTTCTAATAGAATTGATGTCTCACTCTTTTACCCAGGCTGGGGTGCAATGGTACCATCGTAGCTCACTGTACCTCCGACTTCTGGGAGCCTCCAGCAAATCTTCTGCCACTTGTCTGTTCTTTTGTTTGTGCTTTGATGTCATATTTATGAAACTATTATCTAGTCCAAGGTCACAAAGATTTACTCCTAAATACATTACTTTTTCTGAGAATACTACAGGTATAACATTAAATTATCATTACTGACATCTGAATTTTATCTTTGTGAAATCCAATACCTGTATTTGGCTCTAGACACAAAATTACAGTTGTCTTTGGGATGTCATGTGAGTTAAAATATACTAATACTTGACTTGAGAAGCATTTTTTCTGACTTTCCTCTGTTAGTTTTGTGATCGTTGGGATTTCTTGCATTTCACTTACATGAATGGGCTTTAGGTTACCCAGACCATTAAATAAATTACCAAATAGATGATTTATGTAGGTACTTCTATAAAATTATTTGGTTTTTCTCTTTTGATTCAAAGGAGTTGGAGTTGTACAAAGAGGAACTTCAGACAAAACCTGCACTCCTGGCAGTCAATAAAATGGACTTGCCAAATGCCCAAGATAAATTTCATGAATTGATGAACCAACTCAAGAATCCTAAAGGTAAACCCATTTAATGCTAATTTAATGAATACTTTCTATGTGCAGAGAATGCCAACTGCTATAATCAGTGGAAAAGAAGACTGACAGTTTCTACTCTTCAAAATCATGGTTGGTCATGTTTGAAGAAAGAACATAGAGCACATAAAACATTTAAATAACACTGTGACATAATAATTAAATTACAGAATATGAGATACGGAGAGTAAGTTAAGGGAGACAAAAGAAAGATGAATTTGAATTGAAAAGGTCAGACTTCACGAAGAAATAAATCTTAAGTTGGGTCCATTAAGACTGTATGAGGCTTGGATGAATGAAGGAAAAAGTATCTACCTGTGAAGTCTTTTTGCTTTCATTAATACACTTCACAACCTCTTCATTCCCCTAGTATTATATTCCATAAAATTAATACAGAACTAACAGTTCTAAAGTGGTATGTTTCTTTACAACACCAACTCTATAGGTCTCTGAAGAGCATTAGTCTTCTAAAAATAACTGTTTTTCCTATGTATGTGTGACACAAAAAAATAGATGCTATTACTCCAAAGGATTTATTTATCTGAAATTTCCTTTATGGATCACTTTGTGTAAAGGAATTCGCTACAGTTTTGAATATGGCACAGCCTATCCTATGGAGTAATGCTTTCATTTTTCAGTCTGGCGGAGAGCCTCATGCACAGACGAGGAAATGTAGGGTGTGTGGTAAGTGGCCACCAGGCTTTTCAATAGTACTGATTTCTTCATGTTTTTATCCTTGATAACAATTGGGAAAGATAGATCATAATGCATTAGGACTAGCAGACAAAATCAGAAGGTCCTTTCTTTCCTCCCAGGAATCTTTTCCCTGTGTAGTTTACATGTTGCATTATCCTCTATCTAATATTTTACTCTTGGAATATATTTTCTGATATTATTAAGTAGTCTTCCTTCTTTAATGTCATTTGCTTTATAAGGTCGTTAGTTTTGTTTGCTAGTTGGTCTTGCAGAGAAGGAAATGTTCAAAAGAAGTACTAGAAGGGAGGGTAACTCAAGAATTGATAACTGTTCTGGACCATCATGTAACATAATATAGGCCCATTAGTGAGAATTCCTGAGTTAGCCTCTCTGGACTTTCTTGGGGCCTCACAAAAGCAAGCTTCATGTTGTTTTGTTGCTTCTCTTTCAGTCCAGCCTTTCTAGTTCATATCATTTAATCCATCCAGTCAGTATCCTCTCCCCTTTCCCATTGCCATGATGTCAGGGAAGAGTAAAAGTAGTATAATAGCTGTTAGCTGCTGTGGGGCGATAGATTAGACTCCTCTGAAATGATCTTCCCTTGAACTCTCCCTCCTGCTTCTTTGATTTCAGTATGGATCCTGATGATAAACCTATACTTTTGGGAAGTCAAGGTCTTCTGTATACTAAGGCCAACTGGAATATCCTAAATTATAAATGATGTTATTTTTACATAAAGTTTATCTCAAAGAATCTATGTTGACTTACCTTATTGAACCCTACTCCAAAGCAAATGTATTACTTCTTTAAATAAATCATTTCTGTGATGTGTCTTCTACTTATACTTAGTTTGGTTTAAAATATATTCATCTGACAAATATTTACTTACCATGTACTTGTCATCTGCCAAAAATCTTACCACTGTCAGCAGTAAAATCCAAAGGTTCTAAGAGCTTGTTAGAGAAGGGATAAAAGGAATTACAAATGCTCCATTTTTGGTTCCCTGATTCACAAATCAAAACTCTACCACAGTTGTGACTTACTTTCAAAGACAGTAGAAATCAGTTTACCTTTGTGTTCTTTGTTTCAGATTTTCTGCATTTATTTGAAAAAAACATGATTCCAGAGAGGACTGTGGAGTTCCAGCATATTATCCCCATATCTGCACTTTCTGGAGAAGGAATTGAAGAATTAAAGAACTGCATCAGAAAATCACTGGATGAACATGCCAACCAGGAAAATGATGCATATCATAAGAAACAGTTGCATAATTTACAGATTTCCAATACACTGTCTTATAGTGAACCATCATCAGAGTGCACTGTTACTAGTTCCAGAATGAATATAATTTAAGTCTATTAAAAGTAATATTGATGGAATACTATTTAGCCTTAAAAAGAAGAAAATTCTGAAATTTGGGACTACATATGGGAAACTGGAGGACATCGTTAAATGAAATAAACCTGGCACAGAAAGACAAATATTGTATGATTTTACTCATATATGGAATCAAAAAAAGTTGAATTCAGAATCAAAGTAGAATAGTAGTTACCAGGGACTGGGGGCAGGGGTCGGGGTTTAGGGAGATGTTGGTCAAAGGATACAAAATTTCAGTTAGATAGCGGGAATAAATTCAAGAAATTTATTGTAAAGCATGCTGACTATAATTAATAACAATATATTGGATTCTGAAACTCTCTAAGAGTAGATTTCATGTTTTGCCAAAAAAGAATGTATACGGTTGCATATGTTAATTAGCTCAATTGAGCCATTCCACAATGTATATGTATTTCAAAACATACATGATAAATATATTCAGCTTTTGTGTATCAGTTTTAAAGAATTATTATTGACCTTCTGGTATATGCACCATCATTCAAGAACCATACCTTTTTAAATTAGTGTCATTAAGTATATCAACGGTAAAAAAGTAACTGGGTACCAGGCATGATGACTTTCATCTGTAATCTCAACACTTTGGGAGGCTGAGACATGAGGATCATTTGAGGCCAGGAGTTGAAGATCAGTCTGGGCAGCATAGCAAGACCCTGTCTCTCCAAAAAAATTTAAAAATTAGCTGAGTGTGTTGGCGTCTGTAATCCTAGCTGTTTGGGAGGCAAAACAGAAAGATTAATTGCGCCAAGCTGGAGGCTGCAGTAAGCCAAAATTGTGCCACTGCACTCCTGCCTGGGTGGCACAGTAAGACCCTGTCTCCAAAAAAACAAACAACAAAAAAAAACAGTAACTGAGGGCTAAAAATTACATTTTATAAGTTTATGGCCAATCCACCTATAATAACATTCTCTGATATTCCTTATTATCTCCCTATTGAGATTATGTTTTAACTCGAAGGATTCTCTAGATTGTTATTAGAATGAGCATCTAGATTTTGTTTTTGTATCTGTCATGTATCTGGTTACAAAAAATATATAGTAGTTCTCACTTGTGAAAAATCTCAAAATCCTAAATTTGATTATATGTTCAGTGATAATAAAGATCACTGATAATATTTAACAGATACCAGCAAACAGATAGATGTTTGTGATTTGAGCTTTTGGAAAATTTTTCTCTTCTAAATATAATAGTATTTTTTCAATGTTGGTGGAGACAGATCTAAGTTTCATTTTCCTATACCCTAGTCTATTTCATTTTCCATTTTCATATTTTAGTAAAAAAATAAATGGGAAGTGCAAACTTTAAATAATATCAACCATTAATATATTTGAGATTGCAATTTAAATTTCTGCCCGAGTGTTTCAAAAATACAAATTGGACATTTTTCTTTTAGATGAGTTTTATTATAAATTGTATGTGTTCATTGTAAAAAAAAAAAAAGATTCAAACAGTTCGAAAGCATATAAAGTAAAAAAAGCTCCCTTCTTTTTACATTAGGCCCCACAGTCTTCCAGAGAAAGCCACTGTTAATAGTTTATGTTCTTAAAAATATATATAGTTTATGTTCTTGCAGAAATTTTTCATGCATATATTTTTTACCCAAATGAGTTCATTGTATAAATTTTTTCCAACTTTTTTTTTTTTACAAAATAGCAGGTTATTAAGCTTTTAAAAATTATTCCTCAATACTTTAAAATTATTAGAAATTATTTTGGAATTTGTTTTTTAAAGTATATATGGCTATTTTTTGTAAATAGTAAAGGAAAATGCATTGTTCTTGACTTAAATTTCTTTTATTTAACAATGTGAGTGACTTTTTCCAAGTATTATTCACTTTTTTTTGGTTCTGTTTTCTGTTTCTTACTCCTGTCTCCCACGACTTTTCTTGTTTCTTTTTTCTTCATTGCACAGGTATTTATTATCTCGTGTGCCAGGCACCATGCAAGATGCTGCATGTACCATGTTGAAGGGAGCAGACAGGACCTGCTTCCCTATGGATCTCACACTTGATCACAGGGGATTGGAAGCAAAGGAATAAGAGTAGGGAAAAGCATTTGGAAGTTGAATTGATCATAGTGACTGTGTTTCTTACTGTGTATGTTTTATATTTGTAACTTCAGTGTCACTTTTTAAAAAAAACTCTATTTTTACCTAAACATAAGCAGGAATGTGAGTACATTTTTGTCAGGTAGATTTCAAAAATCCATACACCATAATCCTACTCTGTTCTGTGGCAAAGGATAGTAGATATGTGCTAAGGCTATTTGCTCTGTCAGTTGCCTAGGATACTACTCCATGACTAACTGAAGTGTATTATGTGTTGCACTAAAATGCTCTACTTGTTCATGTTTTCTGAAAGTGTACTCTCTGTACCTTTTTGTGACCTTTGAATTTTATTTTAAACAAAAGGAGAAAATTCAGATGCCATTTTTATTTTATAAAAAATAAGTTTTAGTCCACTCACGGCTGTAATTTCAGCACTTTAGACTGAGGTGGGAGGATTGCTTGAGACCAGCCTGTGCAACGTAGCAAGACCACATCTTTACATAAAAATAAAAAAATTAGTCGAATGCGGTGGCACAGCTATACTCCCAGTCACTTGGAGGGATGAAGTGGGAAGATCACTGGAACCTGAAAAGTCTAGGCAGCAGTGAGCTATGATTGTGCCACTGCTGGGGGAGAGACCCTAGCAAAAGTTTACAGTCCCAGTAATTCTTGCAGAGCTTGCTATATCAGATTTATTTACCATCATGAAATACAAGTTCATACTGACAGATACTGTCAGTATTAAGTATGATGTACTGTGAAGTTGGATCTATGCCCTGAAGATTTTGCCTATGAATAAAAAAAAAAAAAATGGAATACCCACTGTATTGTGTTTTTTGTGATATACATATTATGTGTTACTGCAAGACAGTTTTTTAAATGATAGACATTAGTTTCATAATCGGTAAAGGGAAAAATTAGGTCAGGGTCAAGGGTATTTTATTTCAGGTTTTATCTTATTAGTTTTCTTGAAAAGTTATATGTTTCAGCTCAGTGCTTATTTGCTTTGTTAGGATAGATGTTAGAGATTCCTTTGAATAGTTAATGAAAGTTAGATTTTTTTTCTTGCCAAAAAAGGTACATAAACACATGAAATATTTTCCAATCAATTTCACAGGGTTTGGAAAACTCAAATTCCCTCCAGAAAGTTGCAATTATTAAAGTACATTACAAATAATGTTTCAACGCAACAGCATAAAACTCAAATTATACCTTAAAAGGTGAAAATTGGCTGTGCTCGGTGGCTCAGCCTGTAATCCCAGCACTTTGGGAGGCTGAGGCGCGTGGATTGCCTGAGCCCGCGGGTTTGAGACCTGCCCGGGTGACTTGGCGAGACCTCGTCTCTACAATAAATCAAAAACTAGCCGGGCTTGGTAGCACGCGCCTGTAGTTCTAGCTACTTGGAAGGCTGAGGCAGAAGGATCACTGCAGCCCAGCAGGTCGAGGCTGTGGTGGCCGGGAGTGTGCCACTGCACTCCAGTCTGGGCGACAGAGTGAGACTCCAACTCAAGAAAAAAAATGAAAATTAGCAATAATGTAAAATGTAAACCTACACAAAAGTCACCCTATTGCAAAACAAAGGACAACATTTTGTTTAAAGACCAAATAGTGAATTGGATTTAATGTGTATTTTTTAAACCCTTAAGAGTATCTCAAGCTTGGTTTAAATCTGTCTCTTAATTACAGAATAGATAAGTGAAACACATCTAGAAATCTTGTTTGAGTACATGCAATCATAGTATCTAACATGATAAAGTTACCACATGCTGGGTACTGTGCTGAGAGCAGCACATATTAACTCATTTAAACACTCCACTATATTGCCTCCTGGTCATTATTTTAATGTTGGGCAGTGCATATACGAGTTATTTTAAAACTTTTTTGAGAGTCTAAAATATTTGATAATATTTAAAAAGATATTTTTTTAAAAAAACAGTCTGCCTGATAAAAGTTTGTAACTTAGGAATTAAGCCAGTGAGATAAACATAGTTGACAAAAAATGTTGGCAGACAACATGTTGTAATTTATGTTACTTGCTTTTCTAATTAGAGCTTGAAAAGCAGAGAGAAAGTTTCTATTAAGTTTGGAGTGTCACCAACTGATGGAAAAGCAAAATTAAACGTAATTGAAAGAAGGAGAGAAGACAGAAAAATATGGATGCTGGAAAGGCATGGCATGTGGTGGGGTTATTGCCTCAGCTGGCTCTCGTAAGCATGAAAATGCCAGGGCGATTTCAGCTACCATTTCTGATCATAATCAACCACTAATTTTAGGCAATTTTAATATTTAAAACTTACTTTTGTTTCTCACCATATCATAGTTGCTTTATAGTTATTGGACACTTGGAAGACTTCAGAGAAAGTAATCACCTTTGTATGATAGTTGTTTCTATTTATTTTGTAAACTCTTGAGTGCACTGAAAGTTGAAAGCAAAGGAAAAAAGTTTCCCTTGCTCATGGCCCATATTCCACTATGTTTTTCTGAAATTGCCAGTATCTTCTGATCACTTCCTTCATTTTAAAATTAGTTATCAAACATTATTATTGGTATTCTTTCTATATAAAAGGCTTTAAGAAGACTGGTGTAATTTTCTTTAAAAGGACATGGTTATAAATCTAAGCTGGGCTCGGTGGCCCAGCCTGTAATCCTGCGCCTTTGGGAGTCTGAGGTGAGTGGATTGCCTAAGCCCGCAGGTTCGAGACCCGCCTGGGCAGTGAGACCTCATCTCTACAATACATCAAAAAATCAGCCGGGTGTGGTAGCGCGCGCCTGTAGTTCCGGCTACTCGGAAGACTGAGGCGGAAGGATTGCCGGAGCCCAGCGGCTCGAGGCTGCGGTGGCCGGAGGCGGCCACTGCACTCCCGTCTGGGTGACAGAGTGAGACTCCAACTCAAAAAATAAAAAAAATAAAAATTAAAAAATAAAAGGACACGGTTATAAATCTAAAGTATACCTTCAGTTTTATTTGTGCATGGTTTGCCACAAATTGGGGAAGATTGAGAATATTTTAAAGCAAGGGCCAGCATTGAGTAAAAGTC